TATTTTCTTTTTACATAGTTCAAATATTCACATGGCTCAAAATTCAAAAGGTACAGATAAAAGTCTCTCTTGTCTCAACTCTGTTCTCCCAAGTTACCTTCTCGCAGTCTGAACCCGAGGCTTCTGCCTTCGCGTAACAGCGCCCCTTCTGCCGCAGCAGTACAGGGGCTCAAGGACACAACCCTTCCGACCCACCCGCCTACCCCTCCCCACCCCTGTGAATTCAGGAAAACTTAATGCAAGTGCCACTCAGGTAAAGGTGTTATGCCTCCTCTTAGTAAGTGTATATATGAACCCTTACGGGACTACTTAATTATCTTCTTTCATCTTTAGATTTTTATCTTTAGACCCTAAACTCCTTAGAGCCAGAGTGTGTGTCAACTTCTGGGCAGTAGCAGAGTAGGGGTTACAATGACAGGCTCTGGCACATAGAAAATCAGAATAAAAACTGTACAGTGTGAACTTGGGCCAGTTACTCAGGCTCTCTGGGCCTCTGTTTTTTCAACTATGATTGTCACATCCCCACCAACTTCACAGGGCTGTTGTGAGGACTGGATAAGATGGCTCCTCTCCCGTGTTTGACCCCATGCCCGGCATACAGTGTGGACTCTGCAAGTGGGAACTACTCTCACCCCCAGTGTACTAAGAACCTAGCATATTCCGTGCACAGTATGACGGGCCCGCGTACCCTCTCAAACCCCATTCTGACAGAGGATTAGGGATCTCAGGCGCCTCATTAAAAGCAAGTTGGCATAGTAGGTCACCCAAATCCATACTTTTCCTGGGCGGGGCTCTCCCCTTTCCTTTTATGGGAAACCAGCCTCCCGAAGGCCTGGCTCGTGGCCACCTCCTTTTCAGGTGAGACCTGGCTTTTCTGGATGGTCATGTTGAGACCAACAGAAGGGGCTGACAGGCCACTGCCCCTCTGAGCTTATTGTGTCTGGAGCCCTGAGTTTGAACTGATACAAAGGGCAACTGCCATGTGGCTTTTCTTAGGGCTGACAAGAGTGACTCATCGGAGGGTTACCAATGATCTAGGACAAAGTGACTCACTGGACCTGCCCCTGGGCCTGGCTCTACAGCTGCCTGACCTTTGCCTCTTCGGGAAATATTCTTGGTCCCTGATAATTCTCCACTCAGAGCAGGGAGCTTCCCCTCCCCTACATCACTCTTTGTTAGAAGAGACCCAAGAAAACACTTATTCCAACCCCACTTGACTCACAGATAAGAAAAGGAGCGCAGTGATGGGACTGGGCTTGCTCATACTTGTAGCAGAACCAGGATTTGAACCCAGGTCAAGGGTGCCTTCTTTGATACTCTCCCAGCTGCCACGGATCCCTACCTCTGCATGGCTCCTTCCCCACAAGGCACTCACTCGCTGTGGCCACAGACCGGGTTCTATATATTCCATGCAGTGATTTCCACAGTCTTTTGGTAGGACAGTTACCACTTTGAAATCTTGTTTCCAAGAAAGGCAGAATAATATCTTGGAGCTTGTGGTCCCCATTGACCATAATGTCAATAAACAATGTAAAAATGTGTTTACTTTTGTCAAAAGAAGCATTCATTTCCTATCCAACAAGTTTTGTAAAGAAACAAGGATAGTATAGGCCAACAAGGATTAAGGTATAAATAATTGTCTGGCAGAACAATGGAGCAATCCATGACTTTAAGGGATGGAATCCATACCAGCCTGGGGAGCTGGGACTTTGTGGGAAAGCCGTAACCAGGGAAGCCTGAGCTGGAACCAGAGGGCAGTGTGAGAAAGAGGGAGGGAAATGGTGCCAGGAAGTGCCTAGGAGTCAAACTGGGAGAATGGCGGAGGGTGTCTGTCCTCTCCCTAACCTCCTTGCGTCAACCCCACCCCATCACCAAACCCAAGTCCTCTTGCTGCCCAGACCCTCCCTGTGCTCCAGGAGGGAACTCTGGATCTACTCCCATCTCCCGGACTCCGGCCCCTGCTCCAACCTCATATCAAACAAAATTCCCCCTCGTTGTTCAGGTGTCATTCATTGGTTGGCAAGATTTGAATAGGTTGCCTTTTGCAGGGGTATATGCCATCGGGGCTCTGGAGTCTTTAGTGCTACCTCCTGCTGTCAGTAAAAGTGTGGGGGATTGGAGGGTGAAATACCTGAGAGACAGTGGATCTTTGAGAGACAGACCTCAGACTGGGAAAGTGAGAAGAGCTGTCTTTCCTTGTGGGGAGGAACAAAGTCTCATTCAGTCTCTCGATAGCCTCCAACCATCCAGAGATGAGATTTTCCTCCTACTTTGTAGATGTGGAAGCTCAGGCCCAAAGTGCCAAGCCCAGACACAGAGCTGGACCCAGAAGCCAGGAGTCCTTGTCCCTCCAGCCCCTGCTCTGAGGAACCAGGGGGAAAGGGCCAGGGATTAGGGAAGGGAAGGTGGGTTTGAGGGGAGGAGAGGCCCCAACAAGGTCTGGCAGAGCGGACCTGCAGGCTGCTTCAGGAGGGCCTTGGGTACCTCCAGAGCTGCCCCTCAGCCCTGGGACGGGGCTGGGGCCATGGGATGGAGCAGGCGAGGAGGCAGCGATTCCGAGTCCGGGGGAAATGCGAGTGACTCACACCGGGTGGCTCCGCAAGCCGGCCCAGCCCACATTCCCGGGCCTTTGTTCCCAGCCATCTGGGCCCAGCCTTAAAGGGCCAGCTCCTAGAGGCAGCAGAGAAGGCCGCCCAGCCCAACGGCCAACCCGCCACCTCCACCGTCTCCTCCAGACTGCTTGTTGGGTTGCTTCTAGTCTCTGGGCAGTGGGTAAAAAGAGTGGCACCCTACGAGATATGGGGGTTCATCCAAACCCTCAGGCTATAAGGGAGGACCCTCAGGTCATTTCAGCAAGCCCCTCTGCCTCAGGGCAGGGCTGCACCTAAACTAGCCTAGAAGGATTAAGAAAACTGTTTCCCTCCCTTTCGAAGCAGCTTCTTATAGAATCTCACAATCTGGTCCCTTCTCTCTACCATCCCACTTGTGGCAGTTTGTGCTGGTTACCCGCACAGTCCTGGCCCGATTTCAGTACTGGTTTAGCCTTGATCTCTCACTTAGGTTGGCCTTTCCAGGCTTGTGAACCAGGCTCCCTGTCCTGGGCCTCCAAGGGGCCCAGGGTTCACACCAAGCCTGGCCTGTCCGGCGATTGCTCAGGGGAGAAACATGCCACTCCAGGGCAGCCCTGTGCCCGTCACTTCTTCGGATGCTGCGCGCCACCGTGTGGACACTCCGGAGAATTGGTGCCTTCCGGAGACTGGGCGGGGCTGGCAGTGCGGGGAGGTGGGGGAGGGGGCCCTGCAGAGCTTCCCACTACCAAGTTATGGACTCTGAAAAAGCATCCCGTATTATGAAGCAACCCTGAACTGGCACAAATTAAAATGACAGCAGGCCCTAAATTAGAGAGGAAAAGATGAGGCTGTAAGAGCAATTTAACAACAAAAGCCTAGAAGGTCTAATAAAGCTTACAAGTAGCAGCATTTTTTTTGCGGAGGCTTGGGGACCTCTCTGTGTACCCACCACCTCACAGACTATTTGGGTTTAAGATTTTGCCCACTATCAATATTCAAATTTTCAGAAAAGAGGCTTTGTTCCTTGAAGTTTTCATAGTAATTCCACAATTTATCTGATTTTGAAGTGAGAGCTGGGTTTGGCAGAAGAAAGTTCAAGTCTTGCAGGCCATACTGAAGGGTGGAATAGGGAGAGGAGTGGGCGGAGCTAACAGGGGAAGGCCAGCTTCTAGGCAGAAGCACTTTGAACTGTGGAGAGAACGGGGACTGCTCCATAAACCATCGCTTAGCATGTCCTTTGAACCCAGGATAAACCATTGCCAAAGGGGCAAGGACCACTGGTTGTAGCCTTGGGGTCTTTGTGCGCTATTGGCCTTGGCATCCCCGGCCAGCTGGCCCTGAAGAAACCCAGCACTGAAGAGCATCCAGAACCCTGTGAGACCCACCCCATCCATCCATTCACCCAGCCACCCAACAGAGACCCTCTTGTGGCCATCTGCTCAGATAGCTTCCCTACCTCAGGCTGTAACATCTTTCAAGGTCCTTCCTTCCTCTCCTCTCCAGCACTCTGGTTCACTTCCTTGTCACCCTGACCCTAAATCAATACCATACCTTTCAATAGGTCGCCTGCTTCTGGGCCCTCCTGGGCCAATCAGCCCACCTAAATCAGCACCACGCCTAAATTAATCTCCCTAAAAGGCACCCAACTTCTCCTGAGTGACTGCAGATTGCCTGCCGCACCCAGTCTGAACGTCCTGGCTCAACCCAGAGGTCCAGCCCATGTGCCCTGCACTGGGACTCCCTCTTCTGGAGTTAGTGACTTCGGGAGGATAAGAGCTTTGTTTCATATTTCAAAATCAAATCAAAGCAAATGTAAGTTATATGCCAATAAATCCTAGCCAGAAAATAAAAAACAAATTAAGAGCTTTTAACAAACACACATGCATCCAGACATGCGCTTGTATTTGGGCCCGTGTTGGACAGCCAGCGAGAGCGAGATGGGCTGTGGCCCAGTGCGGCGGGGGCGGGGTGAGGGGCTGAGTCTACTCAGCTCCTGATCCACTTGCTAAGCTGTGCATCCTGCCTTGGGGTCACATCATTCTGGGAGAGAGGTGCCTTTCCTATCCCACCCAAGCCTCCTGCTATTGTCTTCTAACAGGCTTTCCTCTCAGAGGAAAAGAGTGGCCCCAGGCCAGGCCTGGCCCATGTGAAACAGCAGAGAATGAGTAACGTACATTTTACAAGCGCCTGAGACCCCTCCTGACTTTCTTCAAATGGACATGTGAAGTGGTAGGGAAGGGCGACCCTACCCACTATGAGATATCTGTTACAACATGACATCATTCCAGAGTTCTTTCAGGCCATTAAACTGAGGACGGTGCTACCTGCCCTCACCTGGTTAGGGGAGAGCTTTAGAACCTCTTTTCTTTCCAGCCCCTCAGCTGCTTCCCTCTTGAGCCTCCGGGTAAGCCTGTGCTTTCTCCCTTACAGCCTGGGAAACCCAGCTCCAGCAGGAGGCAGCCCATCAACCTGAACCATTATGCCACCAAGAAGAGCATGGTAGGGAGCATGCTGGATGTGGCTCTCTTCCTGTCCAATGCCATGCGGCTGAAGACGGTGCTGGGGCACGGGCCGTCCTCTCAATACTACGCTACGCTCATCACCCTCATCAGCATCTCTCTGCTCCTGCAGGTGGTCATTGGAATCCTCCTTGTGATCACTGGTGAGCCCCGGCCTGGGGTTGGCCTCTGTGCCCATTGAGGGAAGATGAGCCCCTAGTGTCTGCCTGGACCGCAGTTTGCACATGCCAACTTCTCAGCCAAGCACTAACTTGGTGTTAGCCCTCTGCACCTACAAATGCCCCAGGACCACCCACACAGTGATGACAAGCACCCTGCTCTACCTCTTGGTGTTCCCTATAGTGGCCACTCCATAATGCCTGCTGAATGACAGCCCTCACTAACTTGTGGCAGAGTTCCCTATTGGCCTCTGGGCAAGCACGCATCCCCACTCTTAGAAGACCCACTGTAAGTTCCCAAACCCCGATTCTATGCAGCACCACACGGATGCCCACACACTGGTCAGTGAGGGAAGAGCTATCAAGTACAATGCTACCACCTGTTAATTTCTGCCACATGGTCTTGGAGTCGCCAGACTTTTTCTGAACTCTAGTGGGTGTTGTGAGGAAAGCTCCAGGCTGTGACCCCCACCCTGACTTTTACCTCTCACCCCCCACTTCTCCGTAGCACGGCTGAACCTCAATGAGGTAGAAAAGCAGTGGCGAATAAACCAGCTCAACGATGCTGCCACCGCCTTGGTCTTCCTCACTGTTGTCCTCAATGTCTTCATTACAGCCTTCGGGGCACAAGAGACAGGATTCCTGGCTGTCAGGAGCTTAAGGAATCCTCTCTGAACTCAGCTGGGACCCAGGTGAGGGGTGATGGGAGGCCTTCGGACCCTAAGGCTTTTTCTCACCTCTGAGAAATTTGGGGTGAGAAAGAAATCCTTGCCAAGCAAAAGGATGAGGCAGATCTGGGGCAAGGAGGGAACCTTGAAAAGCTCGGATGCAGACTCAGGAAGGCCCTCCATGCTGTTAACAGCGCTTCTCCTTCAAGTTAGGCTCGGGTTTTTCCATAGCCTGAGATGGGCGGGAGGCAACATGGTTAGTGGTTGGCTCTGCCCCTCCGCCAAGAGGCAAGATGGAAATGTGGGGCTTCTCCTACTTGTGGCCCAGGAGCCGACGGCAACAAAAGCACCTGGAAGCTTGCTGGAAATGGAGGCTCTGGGGCCCACTCCACATCTCCTGAGCCAGCACGTGCATCTTGGGAAGGCTGCCAGGGGAGTTGGGGGTTCAGTGAAGTCTGCGAACGTCGCCCTCACCACCTCTTCTCTGGGTCCTCCACAGGTGCTGGACCTGGAGCTGCTTCCGCCGCTTTCCTCCCTGACCTGCCAGGCTGCCGGGCACTTCCCCCAGTTCCCGGGAGCTCCTGAAAAGGCAGTGTAGATGCCTGCTTCCTAGCCCCAGCACCTGAATGAGGAGGGGATATTTTGCTGGCCTAAGTGAATTCCATCCTGATCTAGACTGGGGCAGCGCCAACCTTTCCTCCCAGTAGCACCTGCACCCGAGGCAGCCTACCTATGGCCGAGTCTGCCCAGCTTAGGACTCTGGTTCTGACTCTACTCCATTCTCTCCCTTTGCCCATCCATCCCCAGGCCTATTTTCCCAGGTGAAACGGAATGATTTCTATCTATAAAAGTTTCTGCAAATCTACTGAAGTCGATTTGTGTGTCTTTAGTTGCGTCAGAGCTGCCATCTCCATCCGTGTCCTGGAAAGGAGACTCCAGGCCTGGACGGAGGAGCTTTCACACCACCCCCTCTGCTCTGAGCTGTGCTCGTAGTCAACTTTCCACGCGCCGCATGCCTTGGGCCAGTTACCGCCTGCTACCTCAGTGGCAGATCAGTCAATTCTAGACCGGTGCATGTACGCACACTCCTTTTCGGGACCCACTGTAAACCTATTCTAGCTTTCACATTAGCACCTTCTCTTAGGCATGTGTTTAAGGAACAGAAATGACTTGATTTATGCCTATGCCAAGTATAACCAGGGAGGTCCATTTGCACCTGTAAAGCATCAACAGGACATCCCCAGCGCAAGCTGTAAAGAGCTTTAGGTTGTCTGCTATTTTAGAATAAGCCACACTTCAGCTCCTCTCCACTGTACACCAAAACAATTCTGGCCCTTTTTCTAGCCATATTCACCCAGGGCGCCTACCCACCTTGTTCCACTGAAACCACCAGTCTCTACTGATCTGCTGAACAGAAAATGCCAGGTCTATCAGACTGTGAGATCCTCACACGGGAACTGCAGAGGCGACCGTCTGCCATGTAGCCAAAACCAACTAATGGGAAAGGGCGGAGGGTGGTATGGAAGGGTCCTCGGCACGCCCTTCAGAGAGCAGCCTGATGGCCGCAGGACAGAGCCGTGACCCCCAGGGCCCTCAGCCCAACCCTCTCCCACCATGATGGGAAACAGGAAAACACAAGAGCCATTCTGTTTTCTACGAAGATGCTGTATTTAATGCCTTCCCTCCCACCATCCCAGTCCCTCCCCCACCCTAGACATTCCCCTACAGAATAGGAGCCCTTGTCAGGTCCTCCCCCTTAAGGCAGGTGGTGTGGAGGTAACAAACATCAAACACAAGGCACTAGCTGGGGCAGAGGGGGTGGCGGGCAGGGCAGGGCAGGGGAGGCTGGGCTGGCTCCTGTTGTCCGGGAAAGTGAATCAGGAAGCGGCTGTTTGGGCTGGCTCAGGCCTCTCAGTGAATACCCGACGATGAGAGTGGCCCCATCTAGCACCCCGGCTGGCCAACTGCAGCTCTGGCCTACTCCCTACAGACCTTCCCCAAAGGCAGTTAAGTAAGCTGGAGCAGGGACCCTGCGGAGCCACAGCCCAAGGACAGGTATGGGCATCCATAAGCAACTGAGTCACTGAGAAGTCCTAGTCCTTCCTGATTTCTTAGGACAGAGGCAAGGATTTGTTCAGAGCCTCCAGGTTCTCGACAGGCTCCATTGTCCCCTATGCCAAGTTTATGCTCTCGGTGGCTACTGAGCCATCAGGAGGGCCCTCCAAAGGCTGTGCCTTGGACTGTCACAGCATGGAGCCTGGGCCCGCTGACTGGCCTCCCTCCCTCACAGCAGGGAGCGCTGTGTTCATCTCCCTAAACAGCCACTGGAGTCCAGGGTCCAGTGTCCAATGCACCGTTGGTGAATTCAGCAGCAGCAGCAGAGGCAGCAGCAGCAGTAGAAAAATCCTCTGCCGCAAAGGCACCTGGGGATCATTAGTGCAAGATAAGTGTGTGATCATCAGGTGACAGAAAGGGTGGAGTAGACTGCAAAGGCTGGAACTGTTTTCCCTGAACAGGCTTCACTTTTCAGTTCCCCCTGGCCCCTGCTCCCTTCCACCTGGGGAAGAGATCTCAGAATGATGCACTCACCTCCCCAAACCTGTCACCCCACCGCTTCCTACCCTGGTCCCTGTTTTACGGTTCTGTTTCACCCACACCTCTTCCCCTTCTTCCACTCAAGGCCACATCTGGGGCACTCCCTGCAGGAGGGGAAGTCCGGGGAGTTGGGCTGAGTGGATTCAAGCTTTCCACTTCTCTTTTCATCCCTTCCTGCTGGACCCCGACCCCCTCCTCTCATCTAAGTCATAGTTTACTTACACCCACATCCCCTTTCTTCTCGGCCTCCCTCCACCTTGCCTGTCCTGCTTGGCCTGTATGCAAAACACCAGGATGAGCCCACTGCTCACCACTTCCTCATCTCCCAACCCTCTGTGGCACCAGGAAGACGATGCCAGCTCTGTGCTTCTGGTGGGTCTAAAGCCAGAGCCACATGGAGGGTAAGGTTAATGCCCTAGTTGGTGGCCAGCTGTTCGACGGCTACCGGGGATAGACGTGCGTGTCCCTGGGAGGCGTGAGCCTGGGATGGAGCAGAGGAAGTGCTCCTTGTGGGGCCAGCTCCTCTGGTTATGTCAGCTGCCAGGTCCAGGACCGAGGGACACAGCTCTACACAGGAGTGGGTCTGAGGTATGCGAGTGGGAACACTTTCGAAAGGCGCCACTCCACCGCCCTCTCGCAGTCCATGCTGGACAATTAGTTTTGCTTTTCTGATTAAAAAAAAAAGAACAATAAAATACGTCCAACCGAAGAGCTTCCCGTTCCTGGTCGCCGCCCCAGTGAGGAGCACTGGGTGGAGGTGGAGGCTGGCACGCGCCTCAAGGATTCAGGCCAGTGTCACTCAGGCAGGCCTCCCTCCTGGACCTGACCGCACAGCCCTCCCTGGGGCTTTCCCACCTCTGTGCCTGAGTGAGCACCCCCTCCTGGGCCCCTTCCCAAAGTCCTTCCTCTGGAGGCCCAGAGGATGAAGGAGGGGACTTAGCAGCCGTTTGTGTGAGGGGAGAGCTCCCGTGGAGTAGGGCGTGTTAGTGCTGAGGCCTCTCTGGGCCCAGCCATGGCTTCTTCTCCCCTCCTCGCTCCCCCCGGCAGTCAGCAGGCTGCCAGGGGAGCAGCTGTAAGTCAAGGGGCAGGAAGTTGTTGGTCCAGCAGGTCGCCCCTCAGGATTATGGCATCTTCATCTGGCGGCGGTTCCACATGCCTCGCTTGGAATGGAAATGATGGAAGAAATTCCTGAGGGAGAGACGTTCCACTTCCAGACCTGCTTGGAGGATCCTGAGTTGGGGAGAGGCAGGATGAGCTTCAGAAGCACAGGAGGCAACTGGACTCCACATCTCTAACAGACCCTGTCCCTCTCTTCCTGTTCACCCCCACTCCCACCCCCCCATCCGGCAGGGGAGCAAAGTAAAGTGCAGAGTGTGGGCTTTGGAGCCAGACAGCCTGCGTTTGAATTCCATACTGTGTTAAGTTATATATGTCATCGGTCAGAGCCTGTTTGCTAATCTCTAGAAAGAGGATAATAATGATATATACACACTGGAGGGCGGTAGCAAAGACTAGAGATGGTGGATGTAGGTGCTCAGCACAGTTCCTGGTACTGAGCCAGCAGGAGACATGTCATAGTGGGTGAGAGAGTCAGAGGGCTGAAACAGACCTTGTCCTTAGCTCTTCCCTGTCTCTTTCCCACACACAGCCCACCTAGATTTTTTAAAAAGAGAGAGAGAAAGAAAAAAACAGCGGTCTCCTACCATAGAAGTTCACACCACAAAGTCAGGAATTCAAGACAGGTCAACTTAAGAAGCAGAGGCAAAAAAGAAGAGTCTCACAAATAATGGGAAGACAAAGAAACACCCCCCAGTCGAAGGGAAAGGAGGAGTCCCCACAAAGGGAACTAAATGAAATAAGAGGCAAGTAAACTATCAGATAGAGTTCAAAACAATGGTTCGAAGGAAGCTCAGTAATCTCAGTGATACAGGGAAACTACGAGGAACTTACTGCAAACTCTATCAACATGAAAAAGGACATAGAAACGATCAACAAGACACAAGAGGAAATGAAGAATACAATTTCTGAAGTGAAGAACACAGTAGAAGGAATCAAAAGCAGGCTCGATGAAGCAGAGCATCCCATCAGCGAGCTGGAGGACAAAGTAGGAAAAAGCTCCCAGAAAGAGCAAGAAAATGAAAAGAGACTCAAAAAGCATGAAGAGACATTGAGGGAAATGCAGGACAACCTGAAACGTAATAATATCCGTATAATAGGGATACCAGAAGGAGAAGAAGAGGAGCAAGGGGTAGAGAACCTGTTTGAAAAAGTCATGATGGAAAACTTCCCTAATTGGAGGACAGAAAAAGTCACACAAGTCCAGGAAGCACAGAGGGTCTCATTCAAGAAGAACCCAATGAGGCCCACTCCAAGACACATCATCATTAAAATGGCAAATATCAAAGACAAACAGAGAATCCTAAAGGAAGCAAGGGAGAAGGAGGAAGTAACATATAAGGGAGCCCCGATACGCCTAGCAGCTGACTTCTCAACAGAAACACTACAAGCCAGAAGGGAACGGCATGAAATATTCCAAGTCATGAAAAGCAAAGGCCTGGAACCAAGACTGCTCTACCCAGCAAGGCTCTCAATTAAAATGGAAGGCGAAATAAGGAGTTTCCCACACAAAAGAAGGCTAAAAGAAGACACCTCCACCAAACAAGCAATTGCAAAATATGTTAAAGGGACTGCTTTAAGAAGATGAAGAAAAAGAATCTATGTAAACCCAGTTCCTTTCACAGTCACCAATATTTTTAATACTTAATCTGATTTGTGACAATGATGTGTTATTTTAATTGTTACTTTATTATTGGTTGAAACTAAACCTGTTTTTGTAGATTTCTTGCCTATTTCTAAAAAAGTTTTAAATGACTTTTTGGTATTCTTTATACATTTTTTTAAATTAAATGTTTGTAGTTTTTCCCTAAAACAAAAACAAAAACAACTATTAACCCTTTTTTAGATGTGTTGCAAATACTTTCCTATTCCATTACTTGTCCTTTTAACTTTTTTATACATATATTACTATGTAGTCTTAAGTGTTTAATATAGTCATATTGTCAATATTTTACTTTAGAGCTTCTGGGTTTGAATATGTTACTTCAGGGTAAGAAAAATATTATTTTGTATTTTCTCTTAAAACTCCTTAGATTTTACATATTGATTTTTAATTCACCTGAATACTTTTTGTATAATGTGTAAAATAGGGCTCTATATTGGTTTTATTTCAAGTCATAGTGGTCCATGCACTTTATTTGTTGAATAAGCCTTATTTTCCCCATGGATTTGAAATATCAACTTAATCATATATTACATTGTTAGACAGATAATATACATTTGTTTCTACAATGCTCATTTTATTTCATAGATCTACTTGATTATTTCTGTGCTGGTGTCATGTTTTAATTGCTGAGACTTTATAATGGAGTTAAATATTTTAATATTTTATAATTGATCTTGACATTAAATAAATAAATAAATAAATAAATAAATAAATCTGCATTTAGGAAAAAAAGAAAGAACTCCTACCTTTTGCAACAACATGGATGGAACTGGAGAATATAATGCTAAGTGAAATAAGCCAGTCGGTGAAAGACAAATACCATATGGTCTCACCTATCAGTGGAATCTAATCAACAGAATAAACTAACGAACAAAATAAACCACAGGCATGGAAACATGGAGCAGATTGAAAGTGACCAGAGGGGATGGGGAAGGAGGATGATGGTGGAAAGAAGAGGGGACTAAACAAAGAACATGAATGAATGACCCGTGGACATGGACAACAGAGTGGGAACTGACTGTGGGAGAGGGGGGCGGGGTGGGGTGGGTGGAAGAGGGCAACGGGGGGAAAATTGAGACAAGTGTAATAGAATAAACATGATTTAAAAAATAAAACAATAAAGTATGAGAGAGGCCTGTACTTGGGGCAGGGTGGAAGTTACTGGAATTTGAAGCAGTTTCCTTCTCACGGGGGCCTCAGTAGAGGCAGAGGGGCCGAGATCTGAACCAGAATTTGCATCTTCCCAGGCCAACAGGAAGACCACGGAGGGAGGTGACGCTGGTCTGGCTTCTGTCCCCTTCGGGAATCTACTTGGATCTGGCTTTAGGAGAGCTGGGTTATCTCATATAAGCTCCCTCCACCTCCCTCCTTTCCACTGTAAATTCTCTCAGTATTGTCATCTTCCTTTCCTTTCTTCCCTCCAGGGAGAAAACATAAATGCATCCAGGTTTTAAGTCTCTGACACTTATGAGTTGTTAGATTTGGGGCAAGTTATTAATTTCTCAAGGCTCACTTTCCTCTTAAGGAAAATGGAGATAATTATACCTACGTCACAGAAGTTTGGGAAGGAATAAATAAGGCAATGGGTGTGGGTCACCTACCAGTACAGGGGTCCAGTGACTGGTGGCTGCATTTGTCCTGTCTCTCAGGAAGAAGTGCATCTCTCCCTTGTCAAGGCCCGCACTGCACCAGTGGCCCTGACCTCGCCCTGTCTACCTCCCCTGGACACCGTTCCAGCAATTATACCCTTTTTTTCTTGGATTCCCCCCCACCCCCTCCCTCCTTTGCTCCCACCCCTTAAGCTCAACTTTCAAAGTATCATCCTCTTTCCCTCCCCTTCTCTTGACAGCAAATTTCTTGAAAGAGGAATCTCATACTAACACAGCCTCCGCTTCCTCACCAGGTTGTAGGGGATGAGTTCCACAATCCCCTACAACATGGGGTCCTGGCCCAGCCAGCTCCCTGCCCCATCCTGCTCTAAGGCTTTTCATGCCAGGGACCACTCCCTGAAACTCCCTTCTCCCCAGGCTGCCAGGGACTCAGAATCTCCTGGATAGCTTGTTGCCCTTTAATGGTCCAAGTGACCTCTTTTGCTGGCTCCAAAGTCTTCCCTGACCCCTTGGCCTGTCTCTCTTATCCATGCCACAACTTCAGCCTCCTCCCCGAGGCAGCTGCGGAGGGGAGGAGCGCGCCGACCTGGAGGATGGAGCCACGTGTTCCCACCGCGACTTGCTTGCCGCTCAGAACATTATCATTTACATCTGTAGAGATCCATGTTTACTTTTTCCCTGACAGTTTACCAAGCACTTTCCACACCAGCCCTGTGACAGAGACAGAGGCAGTATCCACCCCTTTAAACAGGGAGAGAAACTGAGTCTCTGCAAGGGAAGTAACTGGAGCCCAAGTAAGTGGCAGAGCCTCCTCTGTCTCCAGTGCCTTCACCTGCTTTTGGGGAATCTGCAGCCTGGGACTAGGCTGCTCTCACCCCGTGCCCCGAGCCCCGGAGCGACCACTGGATGGAATTCCAGCAGACCCCGCAGGCGCCCCCCTTTCCCAGTCACCTGTCCAGCAGCTCCCAGTCTTCCCCACCCCAGCGGTCTCGGAACTCCTTGGTGTTCATGCCCCCGATCCTGGCCAGGTCTGACTTGTAGATGCCAAGCAGCCCAAATCCATTCACCTCCCAGTAGCCTATGGACAAGAAGCTCCAGGTGAGGTGAGCCAGAGCCAGGAGAAAAGAATAAAGAAGGCCTCTAGGTGGCATCCCTAGAGCCTTTTCTGAAAGATGGAAGATGGAGTGCCTGCAGCTGAAAACTGTCTCATGTGAGCAAGTCCCTTGCTTGTCTTAGGGGGTAGCCCCTTGAGCTAAGGTTCAGAGTCCAGTGAAAACAGGAGTCCTACCAAGGAGTGACCAAGGGCTGCTGATAGCCCTGCAATAGGATGGGACTCACGACAGTAGCTACTAAAGCACCGCCAAGTGCTCCTTGGCCATTTCCCTCTCAGAGACAGGTGGCCTGTCTCCACCTTTGCACCCTCACAGGGCACAAAGTCTGGCACGTGGTAAATGCTTAATAACTGTGTGATGAATGGATAAAGGGGGGGATGGGGCGAGCAATGCTCATCACTGCTGCTGCTGCTGCTGCGGCCGTTGGCATTGCCCGGGGGACGCTTCTCTGGACTACCCAGGTGAGCAGAGGAGCGGAGGGCAGGGTGCAGAGGGTGACCCTGCTGCGGCAGAACTGTTTCCAGCTCTGGGACTAAGAACCAAGGCCAGAGAGGACTATCCTACCCTCCCCAGCTCAGGGCATGGCTCACCCTCAGGCCACTGGGGGGTGGCCCCGCAATGTAGCCGCATCACCATGGGGGCGAAGGCCATCTTGCCCTCCACACAGTGCTTCCGGATGGTGTCTATGACTCCAGCTGGGAAGTGGATGTGGAGGTCACAGAGGAAGATGATGCTGTGTGGGTCCTGGGGACACAGTGGGAGGATCAGCTGACCCCCCGACCAGGGCTAGGAGGCCAAGCCACACTCCCGGACGAAACTCTGGCTCCCTCCATTTGGATGTCTGACAAACTTCCACAAAACAAGCTACTGGGCAGATTTCCATGGCACTGGGCGTCAGAGCGCAGTTCTTACAATCAGAAGGTAATTCTGATTCCTTCCCCACCCTTTGTGGACTCCAAGGACTCTGGACAAATGCTCCACTGTCATTTGTTCAGTCCCACCCTGGTAGCACAACAGAGAGGACCCCGGTCTCCTCACTCCTTCCTCCCTGAGGAGCTCACTGCCCCACACATCCCGAATGTCTTCCTCTCATCCAGTCCTCGATCACATCTCTCAAGCCCCTCCCAGTCCACTTGCCTTCACCAGGTCTATGCCAGCCTGAAGTCCAGCTGAACGCTCGAAGTTTCCACTTAGCTTCATGTACTGGTAGCTGCAGGGGAGGAGAGAAGGGCTGAGGATTAGGATGAGGCTGTCGTGGTCCCCTGAAGGAAGTTAGCAGGCAGAGTGGCAATGATGCGTTCCTGGCATGGGATTATGGACAGAGACTGGGAGTTGGCAAAGCTGGATGAGACTCCTGGCTCTGCTCCAGACCCAGCAGTCCTGAGACTTTAGGAAGGAAGGTTCAGGCTGCGCTCCAGTCCAGAAGCCTCCTCACCTCCGCAGCTTGGACCTTTTCAGGGCCATCTCGACATCCATGTCCTCACTGCTATAGTCAGTGATGATGATGTTGAAGTGTGAGTCACCGGTGACTTGGAACAGCTTTTCCATGTCTCTGATGAACTGCTGCACCCAGCGTGCCTGGTTCTTCACTGCCCAAGTAGGGTAGGTGGAAAGAAGCAGAGGTAACACAAAGAAGGCCATGTTCACTCCTGGGTCCGGCATGAGTCGGAACCCCATCTGACCTCTGCTCAGGGGCAATGCAGCTATGGGAAATCGGTAGCAATGCAGTACAAAGACAGAAGGCAGAGGTGAGCTCACCACGGAAGGGGCCTCTCTGCCCTGAGAAGGCCTTTGGCTAGGACCAGCCATCAGTTCTCTCATAGCAATCCCCCATGCTCTAACCCTAAAACCCTGTAATCTGTCCATCTCATTATCATCCTTTATCTCCTGTCCTACCCCATTGTTATACTCCCGTCCTGTTTCTCATTATAAGGACCCCATTCTATTAAGAACCCTCTCTGTCATACTTCCCCAGACCAGTTAGAAATCCCAGCACAAGCCCAGCTGATTATCACACCCCACCCTGAAACTTGGGTACCATAGAAAGAGCGATGGCCTCAAGTCAGTATCCATTCCCAGCCCTAACACTTTCCAGCCATGTAAACTTAGACTAGTGACCCTTCCCTTGTGAGCCTCAGTTCCTCAACAGTAAAGTGGCTGTTTTCAAAAGTTCCTAAGAGGCTGAATCAATGAGCAAAGACCTGGGCGCTCACGATCACTCTTAGGATCCCTGCTCGGCTGACAGCGCCCAGGCCCGGCCGCAGGCTCACCAGGCACGATGAAGTGGACCACGGCTTGGTGATTCCAGGAGAAGCCCTGGGGCCAGCACAGCTTGGGCTCTGGAGCCTGGACATTCAAGACACGTCTCCGGTGGTTGTGTGGGCCCCAAACCAGGCCCTGCAGGTTCCGGGCCTCGGACTCTTCCCCACCGGCTGGATCGATGCCCTGCCAGCCTCGTGCAGACACATACTCAGAGAGCCGCACCAGGCGCCGGCCTTGCTCCAGCAGCTCAAGCTCCAGGAGGTAGCGACCCCCACGTAGCTGGTCCTGACGCTTCTCCACGTTCACGATGCGCTGTAGCTGGTACCTCCTATGGCAAAAAGGGTGGGAGGGCTTGAGTAATTCTTTCTCGTAATGTGGGGTGGCACAGTGTGGTAAAAGGCTGCAAGGCCAATTGTCGAGAGACCCTGGTTTTTGTCCTAGCTTTGCCATTGGCTAAGACGCTTACCCTCTCTAGTGTCCCCTGCCTCCCTCTTTAAAAATGCACGTACTGAGCTGGGATGATCTCTCAAGTCTTTTATACCGGAGATCATATATAAGGCGAGAGAGTTTCCTTCAGAAGTTGACCTTCATTAATAAAATGCTCTGTCCAGTTAACAGTGATAATACACAATTAGATAAATGTTGATTGGTTAACTCAGCCTCATTAGTCACTAAGGAAATGCACATCAAAAGCACAATGTGATACCATTTCACACCCATTGGGATGGTTATTTTTTTTTAAGGGAAAATCACAAGTGTTGGCTAGGAAGTAGAGAAATTGGAACCTCCATGCACTGCTGATGGGAATGTAAAAGGGTGCAGCTGATTTGGAAAAGAGATTGGCAGGTCCCAAAAATGTTAAACATAGAGTTACCATATGACCGAGCACTTCTATTCCTGGGTGTATACCCAAGGGAACTGAAAACATGTTCACACAAAAACTTAGTACATGAATGTTCACTGTATTGTATTCATAATAGCCAAAAAGTGGAAATAACCCAAATGTCAATTAACTGATGAACGGCTACACAATATGTGGAATATCCATACAAGAAAATATTATACAGCAATATAAAGGACTGAAATACGTAATACATTCTACAACATGGATGAGCCTTAAAAACTTTTTGCTAAGTGTAAGGAGACAGATGCAAAAGGCCACATATTATATAATTCCATTTATATGTAATGTCTCGAGCAGGTAAATCTATAGCGATAGAAAGTAGAGTAGTGGTTGCCAGGGTCTGGGAGGAAGGAGGAATGGGAATTAACCACCATTAGATTCAGGGACCCTTTAAAAAGCGATTTAAAAAACGTCTGGAATCATAGAGTGGTGATGGTTATACAATATCATGAATATACTTAAAAACCACTGAATTGTATACTCTAAAATGGTAAATTAAATGGTATGTGAATATTATCTCATCTGAAAAAAATGTTGATTGGTTCAATGAATGAAACAATAAAGAACTCAGCCATGTCTTCTGCCCTAGTCCTTTCAGCTCACATCTGTGCTTCTTTTGAGTTTCTTTCAGCCTCAGTTTTGCCTGATCTGTCTTTTTACTAGCTCCTTCCCGGGAAAGGGGACCCCATTTGTCAAGCCTCCCCAGTGCTCTTGGGCCAGGGCCCCAGGCATTTGAGAACCTTGCCTGATGGTGGGACAAACACCAGACTGGTTGGTCCAAGTCACCTCCAGGGGCAGGGGCTCCAGGCACCTGTCCTTCCCAGGAGTCTGCAGCGGGGGTGCCTGATGCAGCCCCAGGTCCCTGCTCCCTGGCCAGCAGGCTGCCACAAGCCTCAGCCCTGGCCCAGGAGAGCCCTTTACCTTACCCCCGGCTCCTCTGGTTGAGCTTCTTTAAGAAGACCCGTGTGATCTCGAGAGCCTCCTGCTCTGGCAGCAGCAGGTTGCCAGACGTGTTACAGTTCAGATCAATCCAGTCGTTCCGCAGGGCTTGGAAATCAAGGTTCCGTGCGCTGAAGGTCTGGTCCCAGTTCACCACGGGGTCAAACATGGGCACATATTCAAACACCTCACTCACATCCTCTTCCTCTTCCTCTTCTTCACCCTCTTCCTCTCCCTCCACTTGGCCTTCCTGGCCTGCAGCTGCTACCACCTCCTCCTCCCCTGGCCAGCCCCGCCTCGGGGCCAGAGGTTCCATCCTGTCACCCCTCCTCTGCTTTGCAATGTATGACTCAACTTGATTAAGCCACTGGGACTGCCCTAGAGTCTTCCTGGGGCTGTCACCCGTGGGCCCGGGCCTTTTGACTTGTGGCCGGTTCCCCACCAGGTGCCCAGGGGGCCGCTTGTCAGAGTGAGGTGGATCTCTGCTGGGCTCAGGGCTGGGTTTTCTCTCCCTCTTCTCTGGTTGCCGCCCTGGGACGTTGCTGGTCCTCCCTGGGAAGGGAGCCATAGAGTTCTGTTTGGAAAAGGGGGCCCGCAGTTCCTCCCGGGACCACGCCAGGAGCTTCCGCAGGCTTCGGAGGCGGTAGTCGGTGACATCCTGCCCCGGGGTAGAGGTAGGCACTTGTTTTCCCTCTGGCCTCCTGGCATTCTGGTCATTGGAGGCCGGGGTTTCCTCTGCCGCCTCTCCATACTGGGACTCTTCTAGAAGGCCTTCCTCAAAACCTGTTGTTAATAACAACCATACCTCACGTCAGAGTTTCCAACCTTTCCCCAAGAAGATATACAAGACAGCTGATGATTGATTATGTGTGATACTCCAAGGCGTTTCAGACAGGGATGGCAGCTGGGCTCTGCCACTTACTGTGTGATCTGGGGCAAGTCACTCAACTTCAGTAACCCCAGTTTCTTCACTTGCATTAAGGGACTAATAATCCATCCTCCACATGGTTTTTGTGAAGATGGTGTGATATGAAGTACAGAGTGCCTAGCAGGTGCCTGGCACATGTAGGATCCCAACAAACGGACCCAGCCAGGCCCTAACACCTCAAAAAGAAAGGCCACAGGAAGCACGGTGCTTCTCCGCAGCAGAACATCTCAAATGTCAAGCCAGGGATAGCACGCCCTCAAGCAGCCCAAGTAATCTCCAGGGCCCGGGATCTCCTCCAGCTGACCCAGCATGCTGTTACCAACCATCATGTCATATATGTGCCTTCGTACAGAAAAGCCAGGAGCCCTGCTCTGCGCCCTGAGGTGAGGGAGGGGCCAGGGCCATGCGGTTTGGATTTTGAGCTCCTCGGGGGCAGGGCTGGCATGGTCTGTATTCCTCCTGGAAACAGACCGTGGTCACCCCTCCCAGGCTGACCTGGAAGACTCAGCTCTCACTCTGTACCTGGCTGTTCCGGTCCCCGTTTGTCAGGTTGGTCAATCTTGATGTATTCCTGAAAGCTGAACCTGCAGGAGGAAGGGATAGGCAGAATGGCCTCCGTGCCCGGCAGGCAAAGCAGGAGGCTCTGCTCAAGTCCCAGCAGCAGTCGGAAGTCATGCCTCAGCCCAGAGCAGAGGACACAGGCTGGGTGGGAGCGTGTGTGGGTCTGTGAGCATGCAAGTGCCCAGGAAGAGCCAAGGCTCCTTGGGCTGGAAGGACACCTGTGGCCCCTCTAGGCAGCCATCCAGGCTCCAGCAGAGCACTATCTTCTTGCCCCATTCAGTGCTGCTCACCTGTCCTGGTAGAACGTGCTTTCCTGGTAGAAGCATTTGTTATGGGTTTCCATGTGGCTCAGGCGGGTGTAGTCATTGGGGTAAACGAAGGACAGATGAACCTGGAGGTAGAGAAAGCAGCAGCAGGAGGAAGAGGGTGGGATCCAGGTAAGAAATCAGCCAGCCAGAGTTGAGCCTACCTCCAGCTCCTAGGGACCTGCCCTAGTGGGGAGAGAAGGGATGCTCTGAATGAAACATCTGCTTGCGCAGACCAGGATTCCACGCCACTCTTCATGCCTCCTCTCTGGGCTCTCTGGACCTACCGTAACCCTGGACCTAGCCAGCTCCCCAGTGCATGAGTCCCTCCTCTCCCCATCCAGCTCATTCTCCCCAGCGGCAGCCGAGACCCTCCCTGCTTTCTCCAGCTACCTTATCCTCGCCTGCAACCTCTGCTCCTTTACCTGCAACCTCCCACCGTGCTGGAACAACCCCCTGTACTATTTACTACACTCTTCCTTTTTGCCTTCCTTAAACATAGCTCAGGGTGATCTCTACCCAAAACCTTCTGAGTGACACCCCAGCCATCCTCTGAGTCCTGGCCATTCTCATAATCATCTCTCAATTTGGGTACAGTGTTCATTCTGCCTCTCCAGTTTCCACATGGGCTGGAGATTCTCTTTCACTGCTCTCCATAGTTCATTTCCCCAGTGCCTTGCCTATGAGTGTAATAAATAGTGCTGGCTGACTGGCTGACAGGACCGACTCAGGCAGGACACAGTCGTGTGGCCCATGAAGCAGGGAGTGTAAGAAGCCTCACACCAGCCCACCTCACATTATCGCTGGGGCAGAACTGATCAACGGGGCTTCCTAAGGCAGAACTCCATTTCTCAGGCTTTGCAGGGCAGTCCATCTGGGCCAGAAGCAACTTGGAATGCTAGTTCTCCCAGCCCAGGGACCTGTGAGGCCATCCTGTCTGCTGGCATGCGACGTGGGGAGGAGGGGGCAGTCAGCTTCAGCAACCCCCATCTCAGCCTTAGGCAGCAAGCCCTCTCTCACTCCTGCCCCCCACTGCCCAGACCCCAGACTTACAAACCGGAGGCCTTGGTAGCGCTGCAGGGGAAGCCCATCCACCAGGTAGCTGGGTTTGTAGGGACAATCAGGCAGGACGTGGCGGAGATGAGACTTGGGGATCAGAGGCACTGGGGAGGTAAGGGAAGAGGGGTGAGGGTGGGGATGGGAACCTGAAACGGGCTGGCTTGGAGCCACGAAGGCTCCCGGCCGAGAGGTGAGGCTGAAGTCCTCTGCCCTTAGCAGGCCCCTTTTTGTGTTCACTCGAGGCAGCTGTGGTCAGAGTCCATGGCCAGTGGCTGAGGCTGCTAGACCAAGGCTGGCACCACTCATCTGGAGAAGGGGCATTCATGCAGCACCTTGGTGACAGAGGACTTAGACAGTCCCTAGTTCAAGGCACAATATAGCGTTGGGATCACTCTACAGGGCTAGCCTCAGTAAAGCTTAGCGACTTCCAAGAGGATGCTAAACCGCACCCTAGTGCAGTGGATTAACCGAATTTCCTTCTAGAAGGGGAGGCGCGGGTAGATGCAGGACATGACTTTGTCAAAAGACTCTAACGCCTTAGTGGGAACATATTTCTCTCACTGGATGACAAGAGCCAGAATCCAGCAAGAAACTACGGTATTTGTGACTGCAGGGGGATGCACAAGGAACTTCGGGTTCTTGTTCTCTTTCCAGTCCTGGGTGGTAGTTACACAAATGTTTGCTCTGTAATGATCTGTATAATGTAAAGTTGTACGTACATATTTTTATACTTTTCTTTATGCATGTTATATTTTACACCACAATCTGTGGACACTATTTTACACAGCCAGGGGACGCTGGTAGAACTGCAGGTCTCCTGAGTCTCCACCACCCACACCATGGACCTGGCAGCATCCTGTCCCCAGGCTGGGTGACAAGCATGCAACCGAGTGCGGCCTCACCTCGATAGAGGGTGTCCCGAGGGTCAGGCTGGAGCATGTCGGCGAGGGGCTGCTCATCTGTGGGAAGCGAGCCTGGGGAGCCCGCGTGGCTGGCTGCTGTCTGCGGGATGTGGCCCACCTCATCCATCCTTAGGAAGGTCTCATCTGGGCCGGGGAGAAAAGAACAGAGGTTGGCTGTGAGCTCTGGAGCAAACCCGGCCAGAGCCCAGGCCCTGCCTCCTTGAGGGGCCCGGAAGACGCTCTGTAGGCTCCTGTAGGCCCCTAGGGACCGTAGAGGATGTGCTCGACCCTCCTCTCTCTGGCCCGAATGCCTCAAAACTTGTGGTTTCCGCTCATTATCTCCCTTTGACCCCTCCACGGGCCCCGTGACTGGCATACACCACAAATTTTGTGTGAATTGTGAAAAGACACATCTTCCTCAAAATGTTTTACTGTGATCTGCTGGAAATTTGTCATTATAAGTATTTTTAATTTTTTGAACAAACACATATATAGCACTTACAAAGGAATAAGCCAGGCATGTTCTAAGCATCTTCCAAATAACCCATTTAATCTTCATAACACCACATGACTTATGTACCATTATTATCATTATTATTCCTGTTATACAGATGAGGAACTGTGGCAAAGGGACTCGAAGTCATTTGCCTGAGATCACAGAACTGACAAGTGGCAAAGTTTGAACCTAGGCACCCAGTCTCAGCCTGCAGGTTATGCTGCCTCTCGGACAGGTCAGTGATACCTACCATGAACAGGGCGCCCCGCAGTGGTCCCCAAAGTCCTGCTCCTCACCTGAGGGCTGGCTGTCTCTCTGCTCTCTGCCTCCTGGGTTCATTTGTCTTTCGCCCCAAAAAGAGCTCTCCTTGTACACCCAAGGCTAGTTACCTCTGATCCATTTTACTAGTTTCTTACCTGAGCTTTGCTACGGGTCTCTTTCTTCTTGGTTCATATCGAATCTAGGGTCTCCAATTCTCCCCTTTTTCTCTTGCAGCAGCCCAGGAGCTCACCACCTGCCCCTTCTGCTTTGACCTTGCGGCCTCTTTCTTTGTTCGCTGGCAACCTCCTCCCACTCCCCATGCCTGTTGCACAATTCCGCCCTCTGCTGGGAACCCGGACCTTCCCTTTCTCTCCATCCTGCCCCCTTCTCACACACACACTTCTTCCCTGCCTTCCGGTCCCCTCCCAGCACCTGCCTTTCCCTCCCTCCCTTAAGGCTCTAGCCGGTCTGCTCTTCCACAGGGCCCCACCTGCCAGGTGGCACTATCTCAGCGGGACCTCTGGATAAGAGTCTCACTGAGAAAATCATAAGCAGTGAATAGTACAATGGGAGAGTTCATTTCCTGCAAAGTTAAAGCGGTTGAGAAAGTTTCCTCTCCTCTGCTATGGCTTGGAAAGAACCACGGCTGCCTCATCTGTGAAATAGGAGACTGGCCTCACTCAGGTCTTTCATCTGGAGTGAGCTTCGTGGTCTCTGGATGTCCTTGGAATTACATACAAAATATTGTGTGTGGGTACGCAAGGGAATTTTCGGAGTGGAGGGCTCAGAGGGCTTCCCTCAGGTTCTCAAAGGGGTCTCTAACCCCTCAGACTTAAGGACCTCTGATCTTAGAGTCCCTTTAGGTTCTGTTCCTGTCCCTTCACACCCATGTTCTAAGCACCCTGAGCTTTTAGCCTTCACCTCCCACCCCTCCCCTCACCCAATTCCCAAGCTGGGAGAAGCCTCCTGTGTGGGCACCACCTTGCCTCTGCCTCAGGCCAGCAAAGCCTGAGGCAGAGCCTATACTCACTTGTGAAGAGGGACAGGGAAGGGGAGTCAATGATGGTGAACTTGGCTCCAGGGTCATTCCGTCGCCACTGGAAGAGGCAAGAGGATAAACGTGGAAGGTTGCAGGGGGACGGGTTTTGAAAAGGGTTCAAGGGAGGAGGGAGAGGAGTGGCTAAGAGCTGACAGCAGAACTCACTGCGACTTCCACATGATCGGTGCCCTCGTCATTCTGCTTGTGCAGCACCTCAAAGTAGTACCTGCGGGAGGCTGACAGGCTGCCGGGAGGAGAGAGAGCAGGGAAACGAGGCTGTCTCCGGACCCTGCGGTCATCCCCCGTCCCACTCTCCCACTGTGCCCGCCTGGTCCCGCATGGCCTCACCGCCTAAACTCCCTTGTCTCCTTGCTCGTAAGAGTCCCAGGGTCTTGCCATGTAACCAGCTGGGTCAGAGCCCTGACTCGACCACTTACTAACGTTCACAGGACAATAGGGAGGATCAAATAAAATATGATAATTAACCCTTAGAGAGTTGTTACTTTGTGCTAGGCCCTGTTCTAAGTGTTTTATATACACTAAGTCACTTAATCCTTGCTTGTAGATAAGAACACTGAGGCACAGAAATCTGGCGTCATTTGTCCAAAGTCACCAAGGTAGTATGTGGTGGAGTTGGGACCTGGACCCAGGCAGCCTCGCTCCAGAGCCCAAGACGTTGGCTGTTACGCTGAACTGCACCACAGAGGCTGGCACATGGCAAGTGCTCTTTGCAAGCTGGACTGTTGTTATTATCAGGATAGATATTACTACCGTCAAGCCAATATCAGGACAGATATTACTACTTGTGTGTGTGCCAGCCACCAGGTGGTGCTCTGAACGTGAGCTAAGTCCCCCTGCCAGCATGTTAAGGTGATTCCAACCACTATTAGCTGGGAAAGGCCCTTGTTTCTCTCCAAGCTACCAAGCGATCCCTGAGACTAGGTCCTTTACACAGCACAGGCAGGGCAGCAGGTGTTCAGGCCTGGACATTTTTGGGAAGGAGAGAATGTGAAAGGCAAGGACCGGGAGAAAGGAGACCTATTTTTGTTTTCCAGTCTACAGTGTCACCAAATAGCTGTGTGACCTTCATTAGGTCACAGCCCTCTCTAGGCTCAGTTTCTTCATCAGTAAAATGAGGAAGGATGAGCCAGATGGTTTCTAAGTTGAAGACTTCATTTACCAAAATGCACTGGTACGCAGCGCACAGAGCCTCAAAAACAAAGAAAGCTGGAGAGTGGAGGGGACACGCTGGGCTCTATGACTTGGACTTGGCCTCAGCACTTGGGGGACTCTGGGGTTTCTTTGCGGCTCTTGAGAATGTCATGACACCCCCTACTTACCTCACTGGCTTGGAAACTTGACTCCGAAATTTCCCATACTCTCCAGGGGCGGTCCACTCTTTTCCAGTCTGGAAGTGTGAGGGGGGAAAAGAGAGTGAAGGAAGGCGGAAAAGAGGAAATACAAAGGATTGGAGGTGGTGAGTGAAGAAAAAGGAGGCAATGAGGAGGAGAAAAGTTGAGAGGGAAGAGAGGAGGGAAATGATGAATGATGATGGGACAGAAGACAGAAGGGAGCTAAGGGAGTGATCTGAGCAAGAAGCTCCTCCATCCTCCCCAAAAGGGCCCTAGCACTCTGGCCCCTCAGTGTGAGTCCTTAGCCCTGAGCTAAGGACTCTTGAACCAAAAAAATGTGTGTGGTCCAGGCACGGCCCAGAGACGCATCTTCCTGGGGTCTTTTCCCAGCCTCAGCCTGACTCCTTCCTCCTCCCCAACTCTCCATTCATCACTGTGTAAAAGGGGATGGGGTGAGAGGGAGGGTGCTTCTTGTTCCCACCTTCTTCCCTGGCAGTCACAGCAGAGATATGAGTGGCAACGAGAGTCTACTGATGGGGGCTGGGGTCCCTTGCATGCCTGGCACCTGGGACCGAGGGAGAGCTCCTGGGCTGAGCTGACCCTACCTTGCCCACGCTAGCCAGCAGCTGAAGGCCTGAGACCTGGTCGTCATTGCTCAGCCAGAATTCCGCATTGTCATCTGCAGCGATGGCAAACTGGATTGTTCCTGGGCAGTGGGGGAGAGTCCAGGTGAGAACAAGAACATCAGAGCCAGGACTGAAGGCCTGTATTATATTGTAGTAATTAAATTCTCCTGGGGCCTTGGTGCATGACTTCCCTCTTGTGGAGTGGGGTTTCTCCATCCAGGGAGACACTGTGAAAATGGGAAGACTAGAGAGAGAGGCGAAACTACTTCCAGACTCTGCAAGTCAAGGAGTGAATTCAGCCTGGGGGAGGGATGGGGCTGGGGGCTGGATGAGATCTCACCTGGACTCGATCTCCCTTCTCCTCAATGATGTACTAATGATGTACAATGATGTACAGGGTCCCAGTGCAGACTTATTTTGCAGCTACAGGCTTATGTTCCCTGGGTCCCTTAAAGAACTCTGGAGCAGGAAAGTAGACGGGTGGGACACTGGGGCTGGCCTCACCATCAGTGAAGGGGTGCAGGTAGCCAAAGATGCGGAGGCCATAGTTGGTCCACTTGGGGGACACGGCCAGCTTCTTCAGAGTTGTTCGGATCTATGCCAAGAAATGGGAGAGAAACTGTTACCCGGAAGAATGAAGAGATTGGCTCACTCAGGGCTGGTGGGAAGACCAGGAGGGAGTGAGACAGCACGGACCAGGGCATGGCTTCATATGGAACGTAGGCAAGATTTCCGCTCCCACTTGGGTGTTTTGTCCAAGTGACCTTGTACAGTGCACAACCAGCACAGCTGTATGTGGTGGCCCTGGGTGAACTACATTATGGCCATGATGAGAGTCTAAAGCTGAAATGATGGCAAGGACGGCAGAAGGAATCTCTGGGAACAGAACAAGGCAGATTCTGTGCAGAGAGGAAAGAAAGAAGGGCCCACAAGATAAAGGAAAGAAAGCAAACCAGAAAAAAAGGAAAGATAAGGAAGACAGAAGATGGGGGGAGGTGGGAAAGAGACAGAACTGGGCAGAGGGGGGAAGAAAAGGTATGGAGAAAGGACAAAGGGGTCCACAGCACTCACGTGGGGGTAGAGCGGGAAATGGAGGTTCCTCCTGAGCTGCTGGATGGAACTGCCACACCAGTCTTCAAACACATGCAGGTTGGCGCGGCCCCGGAACTGTAAGGGCAGAGAGGTGAGTGAGAGTGAGCACCCCCAAACCTGCCCCTGTGGCCCTGAGGCTTGAGAGGCTGGGTGGAGAGACAGAGGCACAGGCCTCCGCAGCCCCAGCGTGAGAGTTCCTCTCACTGTTGAAGGTCATGGCCCACTTCAGTCCATTCCCCTCCTTGGCACCCACAGCTTCTCTCAGGAACTTCATCCCTGCGACCTGGCCCTGAGGCCTGGGTCTGCTTTTCCGGCCATGCATGTGTACACATGTACACGTGTATACACACACACACACACACACACACACACACACACACACACACTGCCTCTTTCCATGCAGGAAGTGGGCTGGTTTGCATTCCCCAAGCAAGGGGGAGTAACAGCCATGACAGAATGGCAGACATGACAGAGGGAACTGGAAGGAAGTGCCAAGCGGGGGTTTCAGCTGAAGACTTGCTCTCCTCCCCTCCCCTTCCCCTAATGCCTAGTAAGAAGAAAGCTCCACAGCTGTCTGCTGGTGAAACCTTATCTGCCCAGAGGTCTTCACACTCGGGGCTCCCCTTGTGGGGATGCAGCTGGAAAAGCGTTGCGGGAGGTCTCTGGGGGCCCATCTACAGACCTGGCCTCCTGGCCTCCCGCTGCTCTCAAGAGCTCAGAGCCCCACTCAGCCAGGTGCCTGGGGCTTCCAGGCAGCTCTGGGAAGGCAGGGGGCAGCTCTGGGAAGGCAGGAACGGAGGATGTATACACTCTCTCTCCTTCTCAAGACAGGGTGGGAGGCCTGGAGCAGAGGGCCCCTTCAGAAGAAAGGGCTAGGGCAGCAGCTAGTATTCTGAGTGGGTGGAGGCCTGGAGCTTGGGAGGGGAGGGGAAGCAGGGGGATATTGTCCCAATTTATCCTGACAAAGAGTTTCAGATTACCCCACCTCAGCCCTTTTCTCCTCCCCTCCCCCAGAGCTTAATTTCCAGGTTGTGGGAGGTGGGACCTCAATTACTCTATGAAAACAGATCCTGCCCTGCCCTCCCCTCTGTGGCCCATCAGTTATCAAAATCTAAGCTGCCCTTAGGAAAACAGAGGAGGAAGGGTCCCCCAGACGGGAAGCCCAGATAGAAGGACGTGACATAAGGTCTCCGGCAAGAGATCTGGAGGGAGGGACGGTGAGAGGAGAGAACATGGGGGAGGAGGAGAGCGCAGCAGGAATGCCGAAGATCTGAGCCGCGCCGGGCCTGGCGGGTGGGCACAGGCCACAGCCAGGGAAACGCGAGCTACAGCTGGACCCAGGAAAGGCCCAAGGGAGCCTGTCATTCCCCATCCCCTCAGCAACTTGGCACTTCCTGGGTGTGCTGGTCAATGCTAGGAATGCGGGATCTTGGGAAGCAGCCATCACTCCAAGGAATATGAGTGGGGGGCTGGGATGGGTGGGAGAGAGAATGTGGGCTGGGTAGGTGGGGGGAGGGTTTAGGCTTCTTGAAAGGAAAGAATGGGTACATTGTGCTACTTCTGGAGAAATTCCTTAAGTCCTGTTTACAAGACTCAGTGTCTCCTGCCAATGGCCTCCCTGCCCCTTCCTGGGACTTTCAGGGCAGTGTGCACAGACCCACAACCAACTGCGGAGGGAGGGCACCCCACCGGAGAAGTCTGCTGTGTTCAGCCAGGAGGTCAGAGACCACAGCGGGTTTGCGCAGGGAAAGGAGGGAAGGAAGAAAGAGGAGGGTGGGCTGCCTCCCACCTCCCTGCTCATGGCCTCGCCTGAGATGCTGCAGGAAACCGCAGGCCAGGAGGCACAAGTGCAGAGAGAGGACTACCCATCTCCTTGGAGGTCTAAGCCCTCACTCAGCATTAAGCTAGCCCTCAAACCACATTTCATCCACCTCAGCTGTACGTGGAGAGTCTCTCAGGGACCACTGGGCACCATCTTCCTCCCCAGGCCCAGAATGACAATCCCACCAAGATGTGTGTCCTTCCAAGTTTTGGAGATTTTGTATCTGGCAGGGATATGGGACTCTGGTTCACCAGTGCCACCGTTTGCCCGCTTTCCACTGTCGAGCGGGGGCTAAGACCCAGGGAAGGGTACCGAGTACTCCCACTGCCAGAGCACGTCCTTGGCCAATGATGGATTTGGAATTTCCAGTTACAAGTCGTGGTGGAAATATCTCTTGGAACACACTCATTTTAGAGGTGAGAATATTGATGCCCAGAGGGGTAAAATGACTCCCCAAGGACACACAGCAATTATTCTCATAGAAGTGGGGAGGGTGTCTTGGAGTGTGGGTGGAGGTGAGTGAGGCCAGCCTTGACTGGTCCCCACAGAGGAGGGCCCACTTCTTCCACCCCCTCAACACTGCCACTGCCCGGCCTCACCGGGCCTGCCAAGCCTCAGTGGAGCCTCGAACTGGATTGAAGCTTCTCCCCCTCCACTAATTCTTCACACTGCCTTCAGAATTGCTGCTCCGGCAGTTCTCAGAAGGCTTCAGAATAAAACCTCACCCTGGCATGACTGACCTACCTTCCCAGCCACACCTCGCCCCACTCCCTGTCACACACCTGCACCACACCCACAGCAAACTCCTTTACCTTTCCATGCCTCACAAATACTACATATTTTCTAATTGGAAGGCCCTTTCTTTTCCTTCCCACCTGGCAAACTACAGCTCATCCTTCAAGGCTCTTTTCGTATCCTTCTCTCTGGGGCCTTTGCCCTCTTCTGTGTTCCCTGTATATCTTAATTATTTGAATGAACAATAGCTTGAAGAAGTTAAGCCCAGAGCTATATGTTCCTTCATTTATTCTGTAAGCACTGAGTGGCTGCTTTGTACCAGTTTAAGATGAAAAGAGATGTGGTCCTCAGAGGAGGTAGGGGATGCAGAGGGCAGGCTGGCAGGAACGGTCAGCTCTACCTCCAGGAGAGCCCAAAAGCCCAGGAAGGGATGTGAGCTTTACTCCTTGGCCCTCCCCTGTGTTGCATTGCTGCTCAACCAGGTTCACACTCACACAAGCCGTGTAACGAGCTGCTGACTCACCTCATGAGTCAATGAGGCCGTGCCTGGTAAAAGCACAGAGGCCAGGCCACATGACCCAGCACATCGGGACAATGAGGTCACTAGTTCCTATACACCAGACTCCTGAATTTCTACACACTCAAGCTTCTCTTGATTTCCTGCTCACACCTGTCCTTTGAGGGAGCTCCACCTAGGAATCAAGGGTTCCAGATTCCAAGCACTAGCTCTGGATTTTGAGGAAAGGGCCAAAGGCTCATTTGGTGAAATCCTAATGGGTTAAATTCCTCATTTGAACAGATTATTTGTAAACAAATGAAGATGCCACCTGTACCTCACCAAGGTAACCAAAGTGTATGATGGCAGCGTTTCTGGGCTCTGAGAAAAAGAAAGTCTGATCCACATGAAATCTTGTTCACAAACATTTACTGCAGCATTACTCATGATCAGCAAAAAGTAGAAACAACCCAAATATCCAACTATCAAGGAATGAGTAAATAAAATGTGGTACATCCACATCATAGAATATTATTTAGCAATAAAAGGAAATGAAGTACTAATATATGCTATAACATGGATAAGCCTTGAAAACATGATGTTCAGTGAGCACTGGAGGGGTAGCTCAGTTGATTAGAGCTTCATCCTGATACATCAAGGTTGAGGGTTTGATCCGTAGTCAGGACACATATAGGAATCAACCAATGAATGCATAAATAAATAAACAACAAACTGATTCTTCTCTCTCTCTAAATTCAATAAATGAAAAATTAAAAAAAAACAAACAAAAAACACGATGCTCAGTGAAAGAAGCCAGGTACAAATGGACACATATTGTATGATTCCATTTATATGAATCTAAAGAGACAAGAAGTAGATTAGTATTTTTATATGTGTGAAATATATGGTAAATAAGTTATATCTCAATAAAACTATAATCAAAACAAAAGAAAAGCCTGAGAAGGAATCTGCTACTTAAGAGATGCTGCCTCAGCTCTGGCCAGTGTGGCTCAGTTGGCTGGAGCATTGTCTTGTAAACCGAAAGACCATGGGTTTGATTCCTGGTCAGGGCACACGCCTGGGTTGTAGATTTGGTCCCAGTCAGGGTGTGTGCAAGAGACAACCAACTGATGTTTCTCTCCCTTCCCTTCTCTCTAAAATCAATAAGCATGTCCTCAGGTGAGGATAAAAAAGAGAGAGAGAGAGAGAGAGAGAGAGAGAGACACCTTGTCTCACTGAAGACTACATGACATGACCCATGAAAATTCTGACTTCCTTTGATCTGATTTTGTTCACCAAAGATCAGTTGCCTCTTGCATGCCCCCAAACCAGGGGACCTGGCCTGCAACCTAGGCATGTGCCTGACCCAGAATCAAACCGGCCACCTTTTGGTTTAAGGAATCACGCCCAACCCACTGAGCCACACCAGTCAGGGCCAAAGTGAGTATCTTGAATAGCAGGCAGTGTTTTGGTCAAATATACCTGTATATTGACTGGTAAATGAATAATTTGACACTGAGATTTAATTAATGGGGTTTGCTAATTAGTATCTTATGATTTGGGTTGGCATGAGTAAGTTCCTGAGGGCAGTTACCCAATGAAGGCCAGCTCTGCCCACCCCTCAGGTCATCCACTCTCACAGACCTCTCTCTGACCCACCGAGGAGAATGTCCAACACTGTTTTGCTTTTGAGGGTCACTTCTGGCCTCAGAGACTCTGAGCAGCCAGCCAAAGTCTGAGGCAGGGAGACAGTCAAAGAAGAGACCATTGTCAGCCTTACATTCTTCCCTTCTCACCCTCAGAGCAGGGCTATGCCACATTGAGTGAGTGAGTGAGTTAACCGCCCTCATTATCTGACAGCTAGCAGATGTTCAATAAATGACATATCAACCTGCACCCTCCATGCCAAAACTATATGTCAAAAGACAGGAGACAGGTAAGGAGATGAGAACAGAGAAGTCCCCTTGATGGGCCGTAAGAGAGCTGGAAGCACTGTGCAGCTGCGTGACTGCACATGTTAGTTATTTAACATTTCAGAGCTTTTATTTCCCTTGTGGGTAAAATAAGATTGGATCAGTGACTCCCTGAAGATCCCTGAAGACTGTAATGGGGACTCTTACAAAGTCAGTGAAAATCAGGCATTTACCACCAAAAGGCTATACACACTTACTAAAAGATCAACTACTTCTTTAAAAAGTTAATCCTATATTAATCACTATTTACTATTTGTACACTATTGTCATTTCATATATATCTCCATTCTTGATGGGCCAAAAAAATAAAAAAGGGAGGGAAGTTAATGATTAATAAATATAGAATGTTATGTAGTGATAATCTTTCAAAATAATTGGTTCATCAAGAAAACTGATCCAAAAAGAAAAACAATTTAGTCATCATAAACAAACTGCAAAAATATTTATAGCATGTGACAAATAGTTTATCTTACTAATTGATAAACTCATTTACAAACATTTTACGTAATTTATGAACTTACATTGCTAATTTATGGACAGAAAATACCCAATGAGGACTACTAGCCAAGATGGGGATGTAGGTAGATACACTTTGCCTCCTCGCATGACCAAAATAAGGACAACAACAAATTTAAAAACAAAAAACCAGAACTGCCAAAAAATCAAACTGTATAGAAGTCCAACAACCCAGAAGCTAAAGAAGAAACATTCATCCAGGCAGACAGCCAGGACAGAGAGGAGGCATGGGAAGGTGGCAGCTTGAGGACTAGGCAGGCAAGATGGTGGCTGGCAGTCCCGCATTTGCATGTGGATGAACCAGGAGGAACAACTGGGGAGCAACACAAACCACACAACCCAGGGTTCCAGTGAGGGAAAAGAAAGCCTCAAAACCTCTGGTTATAAAAACCTGTGGAGGTTGCAGCAGCAGAAGGAACTCCCAGACTCACAGGAGAGTTTATTGGAGAGACTCACAGGGTCCTACAACATACACAAACCCACCCACCTGGGAACCAGCACCAGGAGGGCCCAATATGCTTGTGGGTAGTAGGGGAAGGGACTGAAAGCCAGCAGAGAGCTGAGCAAGCAAAATTGTTCCCTCTCTGACCCCTCCCCCATATACAGTGCCACAACACAGCTAAGTGGGTTGCCCCACCCCGGTGAATACCTAAGGCTCTGCCCCTTACAATGTAACAGGTGTACCAAGACAAAGAAATATGGCCCAAATGAAAGAACAGATCAAAACTCCATAAAAACAACTAGGCAAGGAAGAGATAGCCAACCTATCAGATGCACAGTTCAAAATACTGGTAATCAGAATGCTCACAGAAATGATTGAGTACAGACACAAAATAGAGGAAGAAGTAAAAGTTATACAAAGTGAAATGAAGAAAAATACACAGGGAACTAACAGTGAAGGGAAGTAACCTGGGACTCACATTAACAACTTAGAGCAGAAGGAAGAGATCAACATTCAACCAGAACAGAATGAAGAAACAAAAATTCAAAAAAATGAGGAGAGGTTTTGGAACGTCTGGGACAATTGTAAACACTCCAGCATCTGAATCACAGGGGTGCCAGAGGGAGAAGAGAAAGAGCAAGACATTGAAAACTTATTTGAAAAAATAATGAAGGAGAACTTGCCCAATCTGGCTAAGGAAGAGACTTCCAGGAGATCCAGGAAGCTTAGAGAGTCCCAAAGAAGTCATACCCAAGGAAGCACATACCAAGGCACATCATAATTACAGTACCCAAGAGTAAAGATAAGGAGAGAATCTTAAAAGCAGCAAGAGAAAAGAAGACCGTTATCTACAAAGGAGTCCCATAAGACTATCAGCTGATTTCTCAAAAGAAACCTTGCAGGCAAGAAGAGGCTGCAAAGAAGTATTCAAAGTCATGAAAGACAAGGACCTACATCCAAGATTACTCTATCCAGCAAAGCTATCACTGAGAATAGAAGGGCAGGTAAAATGCTTTCCAGATAAGGTAAAATTAAAGGAGTTCATCATCACCAAGCCTATATTATGTGAAATGTTAAAGGGACTTACCTAAGAAAAAGAAGATGATCAAAACTATGAACAGTAAAATGACAACAAACTTGCAACTATCAACAACTGAACCTAAAAACAAAAACAAACTAAGCAAACTAAGCAAACAACTAGAACAGGGACAGAATCACAGAAATGGAGATCCTATGGAGGACTATTAGCGGGGAGGGGGCTCCGGGGGGGGGGGAGAATGGGAGAAAAGGTACAGGGAATAAGAAGCATAAATGGTAGGTAAAAATAGGCAGAGGGAAGTTAAGAACAGTATAGGAAATGGAGAAGCCAAAGAACTTATATGTACGACCCATGGACATGAACTAAGAGAGTGTGGAACGCAAGTAGGAGGAAGGGTGCAGGGCAAAGGGTAGGATAAAGGGGAGAAAAAAATGGGACAGCTGTAATAATATAACCAATAAAAATACTTTAAAATAAATTTAAAAAAGAAAATGAACCACTGAAAAATGGGCAAATGATAGAAATATGCAACCCAAAGAGAAGAAATACAGTAGTCAAGAAACACATGAAATGATGAATTAAAAAAAAGAAAAACGATCTGAACTATGCTCAAAGGAGAGAAGGCTGCATCACTGGACCTTTTTGGCACCTTTTTTCAAAATTCTCTCTCCACATGGGGTGGGGCATAATTACCTGATGATGTCACCTAGTACAGGTGTGCCTGTGTTGTAATCCATCCTCTCTCAGGGCTTTAAACAGAGGTAGTTTCACGGAGTGAATAAACTAATCCTAATGTCACATTTAGCATGATTCTATCTTCTTGCCTCCCGCCCCACAGCAGATGGATAGACTGAAAATCAAATCATCCAGGCCGAAGAGATGAATTCATGATGGGTGGATAAAGACAAGGGGCTGGTCAGGGCCACCCAGCCCAGAAAAGTAATTGGGACTGAGAGATACTGGGGTGGTGGACAAGTTGTGAAATATGAAACCCAAATTTAAAATGTTCACCCCAAGGCACCATGGTACTATGGAGCCCTGGCATAAGCATTTCCTCAAGGTCATCTTGAGTGAGTTAATTAACCTCCCTGAGCTTCAGTTTCTTGCCAAAACAAAAAACAAAAAAAAAGTGTCAAATCCTACTTCAATATAGGGTATCATGATGACGATGACAATTTTTATTCATACATTTCACTGCTTCCTATAAAAATTTTCTAAAACAAGGTTTCCTAGTATATGTTTCTTAAAACACCGGTTTCATAGACTATTAATAGATGTTTCATGGGAAAAAGCAATTCAAGAGGCACATGAGTTTGGTACATGCTGAGCTAAACCAAATTAAACAGATTACTGCAGAACTTCTCAGAAACTTTCATGTGCTAATGTGCATTTCCAAGAAGTGGATGCAGTATAGAGGTTTTAAACTTTATTTAACAATGGACTCCTTTCTTCCTGGAATATCTTATGGGACTTAATGGTTCAAGAAAGACACTTTGGAAAGCATATCTTTTACACAGGCGTGGACATGGAAGTCATGGCTTCCCTGAGGCTTATTTTTCTTGCCTATAAAATAGGATAGTGATACTAGTTTACAGGGTACTAAACTGATATGAGATGATACACAAAGCCTGGCACATAGTAGGCCCACAGCAAATGTCAGTTCCCCTTCTCTAAAGGAAGAAAATAGAATGAGCCAGGGACCCTTTTTTTTTCTTTTTCAAATTAAATAAAAGAATTTAACAATAACCACTGGAAAAAATTTTTGGTGGTCTGGCCCAGGCTGGTGTGGCTCAGTGGATTGAGCACTGGCCTTCAAACCAAAAGGTCACTGGTTTAATTCCCAGTCAGGGCACATGCCTGGGTTGTGGGCTGGGGCCAGTTGGGGGTGTGCAAAAGGCAACCAATTCTCTCGCACATTGATATTTCTCTCCCACTCTTTCTCCCTCCCTTCCCCTCACTCTAAAAGTAAATAAATAAAATCTTAAGGAAAAAAAATCTTTCAGTGTTCTCTGCAATTATCTGTAAAGCTATTTTTTAGCCCTCTCAAAGAACAGGGACAGCAGAGAGTCCCTTACCTCTGAGAGCCAGGGGACAACCTTATTCCACTTCAGATAGCTGCTGTTACTGCTTCCACCTCGCTCAAAGTCTTGGTCCTGGCGGAAGAGTGAAGGATCAACTTTGTGGGACTATTACGGTAAGAACAGTGATTTGGGGCCCCTTGGAAGTGCCTCTGGTGAGGTAGAGGTCAGGAGACACGGCCCTGGTCCCAGGAAGCTTTTCCACTTAATAGACACTCCATTTATCATCCACACTGTGTCCCTCAGGAACATAAACCTCCTTGCAGTTTCAGCAATGCATACTCCTGAGGTTCTTTTACTTTCTGAGTTTTTCCAGCCTTCCCATACAGAAAAAACTTTTTTCTGATTAGAACAGGCTCTGCTGAGGGCAAGGACCATGCCTTCCCTTCCTCTAAATTCCCCAAGGACTCTGCCCATATTTGTCACTCATTTGTCCTAACAAGTGGGAGCCCCTTGAGGACATCCCAACTGTTCCCTACTGTGCAAGCCCACAGGTTCAGTTTGGCCTGGTCCCATATTGGGGATCCATATCTGGTCTAGGCTCAACTTCAGGGCTCCAGGCTAAATTGAATACCAATTTCCCTAAACTCCATCCGCCACCCCCCACCCCTTCGCCTTGCCACTGCTCCTGTCTCACTAGAGACCATCGGTCAAAAAAACACTATAGGAAAAATGCTCCATTACAAATCTGTCCCCCAGCTCTTTGCAGGATGGGGTGGGGAAGGGAGTGTCTATTGCATCATCTCTGACTCTTAGAAGCAAAGTTCTGGGATCATAACTAAAGCACCAGCCCAGTCTTAATGCTGGCAAGAGGCAGGACATTCAGGTCCTGCCTCAGGCCCTCAGTTGCTGCTGGAGATGGAGGCCACATACCTGGAGGGTCAGACATGGGCATCTTACACTGTGTGACAAAGGCTTTGAGGAACATAGGATGCACAGCTCTACCCACCCAGCTAGAAAGTCCTCTAATGCCAGGCTGCCATCCCAGGGACTTTCTCCTCGGCCTCTCTTACCATAGAAAAGTGGGTTTCCCTCAAGGCTGTAATGGCAGGAGCAGCAGAGGCCCCAGGTTAACACTCAGGCAGGGAAAATGGGCTGGCCTTGCCCCATACCTGGGAGCCTAGCCTCTGGGGATGGTAGAACTGGAGATGTGGGTCCGTGCCTGGAATGTTCCTGCTGGTCAGAGCCTTGGCCAGTTCTCTCCAGCTGCCATACCCTATGGAAAGGAAAGAAGAAGAGAGAAACAAGGTCAACAACACCTGAAGATCTTATAAATCCGTAAGATTTGGGGGGACTAATAGAAGTAATCATCTTTCCTTCTGCTGCTCCTTACCCCTCTTCATATGATGGACATGAAGTGACCGGTGGTGTTGGGAGATAGTTATAACTGTGGCCAAGGCACAAAGAGAGGAAATGAGCTTATATCCCATTAGAATTTGTTGTCTTCTACAAATGAGAGAAGGAGCCCGGCCACGTGAAAATGGAGCACTGTCCTCCCACTGGTAACTTGGTACGGGCTGATTCCCCTCCACCAGAGGCAGTTTCTCCCAGAGGCTGCTGTGGGAAAATGGTTGTGAAAGGCAGTGGGACTAAGTTTTCCCCTGCACAAGCTCCCTTTCCGGCTCAGTCCCTCTCCTTTGAGCCCAGGGAAATAGTGTGATATCTAGTGGGGGAGCCCCCTGTCCCCCTCCCACTGCACATTAATTGCTGAGTTGCCGGATAGAACCAGAGCTGGAGGAGGCAGGAAAGGCTAGGCCTTGGGCTTGGTATGTGCCAAATGAATCTATTAAGATTTGAGACCTAGATATTCCTGGATTGATCTGGAGGCTTGTGTGGCTACTGAAGCCTGCACCCTGGCAGCTCTGGAACTGGTTGGCTTATGCACATCTGGCGAGGCTAAAAGCCAAACTATGATGAAAGTGAGGAAACTGCTGGGGTGCACGCATGCATTCACAACTGAGCAAAGAGGCTAGGAGCTGAGCTCAGGGTGAGGGTTGGAAGGATGAGAATTCAGTGGTCGCTATCTTTATGCACTGGGGGGTCAGAGCCTGCATACTACATGTCAGGATATGGCTTAGGCATGGCTGTTAGGCTTTGAATATCTGGAGCCAAACCACTGTTAGCCACACCCAGAATCATATACTCGCAAGGGCTGGAAGGGTCTTTCAAGATCATCTAGCCATTTCAGATGAGAAAAATGGGACCCTGGCTGGTCAAATGACTTATGAAGTCCCACTTAGCAAATAGTGACATGCAATAGAACCAAAGTGTTCAGATGGATTTTCAATGAGCTGCTGCTTTGCCTCCAACAGCTCCACCCAGATGCTCCCACGAGACTACAGCGGGCCCTGCACACAGCAGCTAGACTAACGTCTCCGATCCCTGGGAGCCAATAGCTGGCCGAAAGCAGGAGTGTCCCAGGAACCCTCTGCGGGTGCCAGGAGAGACATGGGCAGCTGACCAGACACAGAGGAAAGAGCACAACTCACAAATATGGGTCCACAGACGGTGGACAGCAACTTTTGCATGAGTGTTTAGGTAACTGACTCCAGGAGGGGACCGACTATGGGAGTGTAGGGGTGCTTTTCTTATGCAGTTTTGTGTGGCCCTTTAGTGTACACTAAGCATCTCATAGGCCTGATCTCACTCAAGACTTACAAGAATTTACGAGATAGGCCAGGTCTGATTACTCCCGTTTTACAGACGGTGAAAGAGAAGCTCAGAGTTTAAAGTCACAGAGTTAGTCGTTTCAAAACCAGAATCAGAACAGAGAGCCTCTCTGTCTCACAAGCCAGTATTTTCTCATCCCGCCTACATTTTCTCCTGTGGGCACTTTTTGGCACAGACTTGGAGGAGTCCTGGGGCAGAGGCCTGAGCTGGGGAATCTGTGCCTTTGGATTTCTGCACAGACATCAAACCTCTACTCATGTTATGTTTATAGGAACTTCTGCAGGTTTATCTCTCTGCCATCAAGGTCCCTCCTATTTCCATGGCTGGCCAACTGGCAGTCAGAAACAATAGGTCAAATTAATTCATACAGGGGGATTATGAATTAATCTGGGGAAGCAGGACTCTGGCCAGTGGAGTGAGGGGAGGAAACGGGAGTGAGGCAGATAGAGGGCAAATGCTCTGAGACCTATACCCTGCGTTGCTGGATGAGCTCAGGGGAAGACTGTTTGTTCATCAGCTAATCCCAACTCAGCCACATCTAATGTAAGAGCCCCATCCCTCCCCAGGCCCAAGGAGCTGCTTACTAGTGTTTGGGGGCTCAGGTGATCAGGGGGAAAATAAGTCACACTGTAAGAAACGGAATACAGGCCCTGCTTGCTTCTCCCTCTAAATGACTAGGCCATCTTTTCCTTGACTTTGTGCTTATGAACTAAAAACAATCTACTTCAGACAAAGTTGTGAGGAAATAATAATAAAAATACTATTTGCCTTATCAATGGAAGTTACAGTAGATCTCAGATGCACATTCTTTCTCATAACTAGTTTTCAATTCTAGTCAAATTCTTTTGACTCTTAAAAATCACACCAAAAGTGAGAGAACTTACCCCAAGGTCAATGAACTACCATTGCGGGTCTTCAGCATGTCTTTTCCTGGCATTTGCTGGGGATTGACCAAGACTGTCTTCTTGACCAAACCTTAAACAGCCTCCTCTGAGCCCCCTTATAGACTAGGCCTCAGCCTTGGGCCCTGTCCTTGCCCTGCCTAGCCCATTTTTTAGAAAGAATCTTAATAAATTTCTTTAGCAAGAGTCCCTACACTCTTGATGTCTCCTCTTAGGAATTTTTCATGCACTGAGCCACTCTCTCTGCTTTTTGATATTAATCCCCAGTTGTCTTTGCCATATTCAGAATTGAGCTCAGTTCTACACTGAAGTCTCTCTCCTGTATTGTGACAGTACTGGACAAAATCTGTCTTTATCACCTTTTATTAGTGTCCAGCTCTATTTCTCTTTAAAAGAAGGTAGGAGGTGGCTCTCTTGGTGAACAAGGACAAACCCACTGTGGGAGAATGAGTATCGGTAAGGCTAAACCTGAACATGTCCTGCCCCTGGGTCACAGGTGAGCCTGGATGGCTTTGAAATATTTGGAAAGTCAACAGCCCAGCCTTTAGTAACTGAAGGAGTAGGAAATTCCTGTTGTGAACTTCACAATATAGCAGAAAGACAAGCAAGGCTTTGGAGTCAGAAAGGTCAAATTGTACACCCACCACTTAGGCCTTGGTTTCTTCATCTGGATGGTGGGGATAAAAACACCTGTCTATAGGACCACTGTAAGGACTAAATTATGTGTGTCAGGCAGAGTGTGGTGTCTGACACATATGGTAAATACTCAGTAAGCATTCCTTTCCCCTAACAACTTTTGACTTTGGGGTTTTGGACTTGGAAATTGAAAGATGTAAGTTCCAGCCTGTTTAAAATTCTATAAACTGCAAATGGCCAGTGGCTCTCTCACTCTCTTCTCCCTGTGCTTACTGACCAGAGAAGTAAGCGGACTGTGGCCCAGCAGTGACTCAGTAGTAGAGCAAGATAATACTTCCTGTGCTTCATGGGTACTGCTTTCCGTTCCCCATCCACATCCATCTCCCCCACGTACTTCACACACATACACATGCACACTAAATACTCACTAAGTGCATATTAAGGGGGAAGCACTAGGCTGGGCACTTAGTATTTCCTTTTCCCTGCCTTTTCCTCTATATCAACCCAGCCATTGGATACCCAGGCATTGCTTAGCCCCCTGAGGGATCATGGGGCTTAAGAATGTGCTGATTTAACTCTTAACGCTTGTCACTGGCCTTCTAGTCAATGAACTCCTCCTGCTCCTGGCCAGACCACTCCTCCCAGAGTGCCAGCTGCCAGGGCCTGTTTCTCCTGCAACAGGTGTCACATTTGTGCCAGGAGACAAGACACCCCGATCTCAGGTGACAGATAAAGCACCACCATGGGCCTCACATTCTGCCCTCACAAAGCAGGGCTATCAAATTCACCATCAGCCGGAACTTTGCCAATATCCCGCCTCTGTGTAACATGGACTCTTTAAAGGCCTGAAGATGATCATCTTGGGTCTTTGGTGAAAACACAACATATAGTATATCTCTTGATGCTTTTTTCAGTGACTCTTATGTACATCACTGCATCTTCACGGCCTCCCTGTGAACTGTTGTCACCTCCATTTAAGATGAAGAGACAGAGGTCATCAGCTCAAGGTCAGAATGAATGAGATAACCCATGTAAAGGACTTAGAGCCCAAGACATAAAAAGCACTTGACACAGTGCCATTTATCATTTTATTATTAGTCACAGTGTTGCAGATCCGAAACTTGCATTCATTTCTCCTGACCTCTGGTTTGATCCTCTAGCTGACATATCATGTGGTCAACAGAGAGAATCACACCAGGAAGAAAGGAAGCCCCTCGCTGCTCGGGAAGAGAGGGCTTTGAAAGTATAGCTGACAGGATTTGTTGATGCATTAGATATGGGAAAGGAATCAAGAATGATTCAAAGATTTCTGACCTGGGCAGTTGGAAATTTGGCTTTGCCATTTACTAAGATGGGGAACCTAGGATGCTGTGTCAAGAATAATGCCTGAAAGAGGAATGGAAGCATTAGGGGTGGGGCAGGCGAGGAACATCCAAGAGGCAAGGGCAATGGAAACAGTATTTCTGAAGCTTCACCTCCAGCCTTGGGGCAGGGCTCCTGAGCCAAAATACACTTTGCAAGAGGGGATGGCCTGAGCCTGCCAGGGCCATGGGAACATGGGGTTGAAGGAGCGGGGAGTCCGGCAGAGCTGGCCCCACAGGCTCTGCCAGGCATAAAGGACAATGTGCTAAGAAGCCCAGCAATGGAACAGAGAAAAGGTGAAGAAATCCAGAGGAGCTGAGCAGAGACAGAGCCTCTGCCTCTCTAGGGCAGGGGTTCCCAACCTCCATGCCACTGACCAGTACCTGTCTGTGCCTGTTAGGAACCGGGTGCACAGCAGGAGGTGAGCTTGAATGTAATGCACTTGAATCATCCTGAAACCACCTCCCCAACCCCAGTCTGTGGAAAAATTTCCTTCCTCAAACTGGTCCCTGGTGCCAAAAAGGTTGGTGACTGCTGCTGTAGAGAACAGGAGGTTGTCTGGGAAGAGGAGGTCGTGACACCCAGGCCACGGTTCCACAAATGCCAGGAACCAGCGCTGAGTCCCAGAACAAAAAAAGCAGAGACT